GGTGTGGTGTGTGTGTGTGTGTTGTGTGTGTGTGTGTTGTGTGGTGCGTGTGTGTGTAGGTGAAAATTGTTGATAATGCAAGTGTATATATGTGTGCAATACTTTAACAAAATGATTTCTAAGTTTGCAACGTGCCTGTTATAATTCGATGTACGTTATCATCTAACTTATAGGGCATGATGTCCTATGTGACCCTTAGTTATAAAATTTATTACATATAACTAAATAGCTTAACATAAAAAGCTATTTGTTGTGTTCAACCATGTAACGATGCCATGAAATTCTAACAACGGAAGTAGAGTATATTCGTAGAATAACTGTGATTATAAGGACAATTTAAATACAAAAAATGTCACACAAAAATTGAGATAGAATCAATATAAAAATATTGAAGTGTATATTAATATATGAAGAGCATATATGTATATACATAATATCAGGAGTTAATGAAGACAAACATAATTTGTCGAACATATTTGTCTTCATTAACTCCTGATAATATGATTAATGTAACATATTTTCTTTTCTTCGTTCGTATAGGATTTAACAGATGGCTTCAACACGTCATGGAGGACATTAGTGGCTGTTATACCTCCTATCCTTGTATTCTTTTGCATATTGCATTGGCTTCATGATATATGAAAAGAAAAGAGCTATCGCCGTAGATAAGGCGTTTAAGCAACAGACGGAGAAAGCCCTAGTCATTGAAGTATGTTACATATTTATATGTTTAATTACCACTCATTAACTGTTGTGTGTGTGTGTGTGGTGTGGGTGGTGTGTGTGTGTGTGTGTGTGTGTGTGTGTGTGTGTGGTGTGTGTGTGTGTGTGTGTGGTGTGTGTGTGTGTGTGTGTGTGTGTGTGTGTGTGTGTGTGTGTGTGTGTGTGTGTGTGGTGTGTGTGATGTGTGTGTACTATGGAAATATACGTTTGTGTGTGTGTGTGTGTTTGTGTATGTGTGTGTGTGGGGGGGGCGGTTCATTGGGTGCGCGCGTGCGTGCGTGTGTACGTGCGTATGTGTTTTATTTTCATAAACGATTAAAAAATGTACTGTCCGCAGTTTATACGTTGGCTATGCATTTATATTGACCTAAATGTCTCGCCTTTTTATTGGGAACGATTTTGGCAATTGTTATTTGTATGAAAAGCAGTAACAGTGCTAGCTATGTTAAATCCAGAAAATATCTTGGCAATTTACAATATTTGTGCCCACCAAAACGCGCATCATATAAAAAAAATTATTGTGCGTTTGTTTATATCAGACAGAATGGCCAAATATAGTCACAATGCAGTTTAACCAAAATATAGTAGCAAAATTCTATTAGTGTAGTTTCGTAGTTTATATATTGTAAATAAATAGCTAGCACTGTGTAAAGTAAGAGAATCACTTTGAATATCTCGATTTTGATTTAGGATTACTCTGGCACAAATATGGCGCCACGTATAGAACGACACGTCAATTCCTACTGTCAGCAATGTACGATTTCCACGAGAAAGGGACCGCCATAGAGCAAATCGTGGCGGAAGAAATGAAGTTTTTAATAGACGACTACATATCAGAGCATGGGAAGGCATTCGACCCACGTCCCGTGATCAGAATGTCTACTGCCAACATTATATTTACCATATGCATTTCGAAGAGGTGAGATTTTAACACATCGAAATGAAAAACGGGTAGAGCTATATGGCCTGCACCCTTGGCCTGCATGGCCTGCATACTACACACCACATGCTAGGTACTATATATGCTATATGTCTTTACGGAATATCAGCGCTCGTAGATACAACGACAACGTTTTCGCAATGTATAATGTATTCGTATTACCAATATTTATGATATTTGAAGAGCGCGCACAGTTCGAAGTCATATATGTCAATCCAGTTTTATGCGTGTCTTAGGTTCTGTCGATAACTTTTATAGGTGGCAATATCCGGATGATAAATTGACGGAAGTTTTAGATTGGAATCGACAGATGATGCTGACTTACAACTCCCCCATGAACAAGTTTCCGTTGTTGCGCTTCATGCCTGGAAGCCAGGTGTCTAAAGGATGCAAGTCGGCTTCAGAACTACGCAAACTTATACGAACAGTACGTAAATTAATTGCAATCGCTGTTTGATTCAGTAAAGAATACGCACACGCACGCGCGTACGTATACACACGTTCACTCACATATGCATAGACAGGCAGGCACGCACACGCACACACAAGTGTTTATATCCAGAGCTAATAATAAGCTGCAATATTAGCTCTTATATATATAATAATATACTATGTATATATATATATATATATATATATATATGGTAATATAATATATTATATAATAGGTGTGCTAATTTTTAGGGCGTGCAGGGAACATAGCTTCCAGTTTAATCCGCAAAAGCGAGAGACATTGCTGACCAGATCTACATAGAATATGAAGGAAGAGAGAGAGGAAGCTGGAACGTGCTCATTATGCTCCTGGAGCACGGTACGTGTTAGCTTGAAGAAACAAGCACGTGTGCATAGACCTTCATTCCTGCGGCGCTGTCATAATGCGTGGGTTGGGGCATCCCTCAGGGCTATCATAAATAATACACTCTATTATTAGTTTACATTTTTACATTGGTTTACAACATTAACAAAACTTTAAATATCACTATAGTATAGCTCCAACTGTTAAGTCTTTCCTTCTGCCACAGGCGTGAAGCGTCATGTGCCTGTCGAAATTTCCACAAGCTTCCTGTAGTGCAGAGCTAACTATATTATTAACGATAATCAAAACAGAAAAGCTATGTCGATGCGAATCATGGGATTATTCCTTGTGCTGGCGCTGGTAGCGCGAGTTTCCTAATCTCAATGCCTACATGCAGACGTTGCCAAAATGTGCTACTATTAGCCGCAACATTGTTTGAGAGAAACGTTTCCCTACTCGTTTGACTGGCCCTCGGTTTCTATGCTGACCACAAGAGCCTGGATTAAAGCCACAAGGTAGCGTGACGCGTCATACTGTGCCCGGCAGTGACGCCTATGCACAGCCCGCTAAAGTACGGTTTTTCCTACTGTTAGTGTCGCGGTCAGTCGGAGACAATTTCCCTCTGCGGTACTATACTACGTGCCCTAACGTACGAGCCTTGGTCGTACACAGAGCGACGCTTGGTGAGCAGTAGGCGTGTGATCGGTTGGGATTTTCTTAGTGTTGCATATCGGATCTTGCGTCCGTCACTAAAATGTTATACCTTCAACCTGTCAGTTTTCTTTCTCCTTCACGTGTACACAAACTCAACACCACACACACCACACACACACACACACACACACACACACACACACACACAACACTACACACACACACACACCACACATACACACATACACACACACACACACACACACACACACACACACACACACACACACACACACACACACACACACACACACACACACACACATAGATTCAGTGCATTCGATTAAGTTCAGTGCAACTCAGCTAAAAGGCAAAACTAAACGTACACTGACAAACCCACCAGATATTCACTATTGTGCCATATATTTCCGTTTCACGTGGCCTCCTGGTTTTTATCGGCTGACTGCTATATACAGTTACACCGTCTTAACATCTTATTTGTATCTCTTGATCTATTCCTTCGTTTTTTCCAAGAGCTTGGTCTGCACTCTGCCACCTTCCCTCGCTATACCTGAATACACTTGTAGCGTCCTCTGTCTACCTGCATGTCTAATCTGCTCTTGTCAATTCCCCCTCTTCACGCTTTCCCCTTTCCCACTCTTCACATGCATCTATTTATGGTCCGCACTTGTCACTTCTCCCTCTCCACTTATGTGCCTGGTATGTACTGCAAGGGCACATTCATCTATTCACCTCTATACATGGCCTACACTTACCTTCTTCATTATTTTGGCTACCTTCTGCTATCCACCTGTAGGTTAATCTGTCATTGCCACATGCCCCACCCCAGGGCATGTCATTGCCATGCCCCGCCCTGTCATTGTCACATTCTCCGCTTTACCTGTATACTTTCCTTAGCTGTTGCCTTCCCTAATTGACATCTGTGCCTGGACAGTATCGGCCTGCCCCCTCCGGTTTTAACCCACGTTTTTACTCTGTGCATCTGCGCGTCTAGCCACAGGCACTTGAAGCGTTTCAATTAAAATAATATGCTAAATAAATACGAAATCTACTTACTATCAAAGTCTTAATGTTTCTCTACTCTCTTTCGCCTATTATTGCCGACAAATTCTTGTAAATGCCGTCCAATTGCTCATCTGCAACACACTGTCACACGCTGGCCGCCGCACGCTATAGCTGCTGCACACTGACACATAAATATATATCAGAATATATATACTATATATTTATGTGTCAGTGTGCAGTAGCTAGCGTGCGGTGTACTTGTGTTTTGCAGATGAGCATTTGACCGGCATTTACAGGTGATTATATGCGAAATAGAGTAGAGAAACATTAAGACTTTGGTAGTAAATACATTTCGTGTTTATTTACCTTTTTTTTTTATTGAGACGTTCCAAGTGCCTGTGCGTCTAGCCAGGTCAATTTTTCGTTTCCATGGGTTGTCCTATATGCATCAGTTTCCGTGGTCTATACAAATTGTTGTTTCTTTTCCGCGTGCACATCGTGTATCGTGATTCAAAACATCTATACTCGTACAATACATGACCATTTATTAGAGCTAGGTCTATAACCAACTCTTTTTCCTCTCCACCTGGATACAGTGTGTATACCAGTCATCTTTTTCATTACACCCGTGTCTTGTTTATACCGGTCACCTTTTCTCCTCCACGGTACGCGATTGGAGTCATTGAAAGTCCCTGTTTATAAAGAGTTGTGCAAACTCGAAAGTGGGCGCCAATTTGTATCCATTGTCCCAAATCAATTACAGAAAACTACTGAAAGAAACGTTAAGCATATGATTTAGGAGTATTTTAAATATCCAATATACTTATTACTTCCCAAATTTAGTGCTTATCACTGGTAAAATATCACCGCGTGACGTAATTAAATGTGCACCTAGACCCTGATGATGAGGCTTGCAGCGCTGCCCATACCCTCCTCGATGGCAGTCCTCCTCCCAGATGGCACATTCTTGGATCCGCCATTTCTCCACCACCTTCTCAACTGTATTGGTGTTCAATTGTTGGCAGTTCCCCGCATCGAGGAGATAGTGGCTCTTATCGTTGACGTGTACAACGGAGCCCAGGACCCGCTCAGCGACGCTCTGTCCTGGCTGGTTCTCTACCTGATAAAGTTCCCCGATGTTCAGGAGAGGGTGAAGAGCGAAATTGACAAGGTTTGCAGTCCCCGCCCGATCAAATCCTATCAGGAATGTCATAATATAGATTATCTATGACACTCGATTATATTATGACACTCCTGGTTGTATCGCACGTCAAGAGACACGCGCGGAGCTTCACAGCTATCATACCTATGGCGGGTGGTGTTAGTGATGGGGATGGTCGTGAGATGCGGGAGGGGTTAGTCACAATTAGCCGGTTACAGACAGTTACACGTAAATCAGCTGAAATATATCCGTCTATTGATGAAGGATGTAAACACAATTTTAAGCAGACTACCTCTCTTTTTATGCGGAGTGTATTTATAACGCGATGTATCTTTTGCATAAAACGCACGTAATAACAACGCTAAGTATATCATCAAACTTTTTCCCTATTACATATGGTTATAATAGTTAAACATGTAATACATTTTGATTAGGTTGATTTACTGAGTGTACCAAAATTTATCATTATAGAAAATGTATAGGGAGTCACGAGTATTTGTTTGCGTCGAGCGGAACAGTAAAATATGAGCATAACGCAGTAATTTAATTAAAAAGGCGACAGTCGTATAACTGTATTTTCATAGGTTATATTCTTTGATATAAAATCGCTCCAGGATCATACGAGGTAAGATTCAGTTTAGCATCTTATGTGTAGGTCATTGGACGGGACCGGCTGCCTACGTTCGAGGATCGTCGTCAGATGCCGTACACCGATGCAGTGATCTCTGAGACTCTGCGACACGCGACGGTCGTGACCGCCACACCTCCTCACTCTCTCACCCGCTCAACCACGCTCTTCGCCTACAACTTCCCGAAGGAGGCGCTCGTGCTGTGCAACCTGTGGGCACTGCATCGCAACGACCACTGCTGGGAGAGTCCCGATACATTCTCTCCCAATCGCTGGATAAAGAAGCAAGCCAAGGACACGGAATCGTTCATGCCATTCTCGACAGGTTTGTACGATTTATTTCCACGTATGTCGATGGACGTTCTAATTATATCTCTAATTATATCTCCACGCCAGACCGATATAGAAATCATGCTTACGCCATCTCTCTCTCTCTCTCTCTCTCTCTCTCTCTCTCTCTCTCTCTCTCTCTCTCTCTCTCTCTCTCTCTCT